TCTTGTTTACAAGTGTAGATAGCCTAACATGTGAACATGTTTTTCTCCCTTTTTGTGACATAATCTTAGCATGTTTTAGCTCTTGTTTTGGCTTGTTTAAGCTCTGTTTTGAGCTGGCTTGGCCACTTGAGGCTTGCCTTGTATGGTTGTAGTGCAATTGTTCTTACTAGTTTAGTTTGTGCTATGTGTTAGCCTTTCATTCTAGCCTTTCTAGCTTACTTCAAGCATGTTTTAGAGCTCTTTTTAAACTGTTTCAGGGCTGTTTTGAAATGTTTTTCCCTTTTGAGTTTTGTCTTGCATACCTCTAGTGTAGTGTTCTTCACTAGTTTGGTGTTTTTGGCCTTTGAACATGTTGTGCATGAGTTGCTTGCATGCTGTAGTATCATTTTTCATGCAATTTCAGCACTAAAATATCTGCAACCTCCCTCATTTCATCACTTTTTCATTTACTTTGAGGGTTGGTTAGCCTTAAGGTTGTGTTTAAGCTTGAGATAGAGCTTATGCTTAAGGGTTTTAATCCTCTTTTGAGGGTTTCTACTAGCCAAAGGCATGATCTCTCTCATGTCTTAAACCATCTCTTGGTTGACCCCTCTCTCATTCGAGGATACTCATCTTGGACTTAACCAGTTAAAGAATGGCTTGGTAATGCTAAAATGAGTAAACAAAATTGAATAAGTAAAACATGACTAAGATAAGCATGTTGTGTTTGCATTGCATATGTTCAATAGGACGTTATATTGAACATAAGGTAGATTGGAACATTTCATACTGAAGTGATGAAATGAGCCAATCTCTTTACTCTCCATTGCCTTTGATCATCCATGACAAGGTAGTGGTCTAGAGTCTTGTTTTTATGCATTTATTGAAAGTGTACAACTTGGATCTTTGGCCATCATACATTGAAAATGCTTGATTGGTGGTTTTGGATCCAAGTGTGCCACTCCTTTGATGTTTAGAGATGATAAGGAGGGGCACAGTATAGACATACCCTGTGAAAACCCTCAATTTTCCTCTATTTGTGCTTTGTTGCAGTGTGGTGATTCAGCACACTAGTGGCTGGCAGTGCTTCATCCTTGGCCAACAGGTGGCCAGCAGCAACCTCTCATGGCCGGCAGGCCACTGGTGCAGTCCTCAGCATTGGTTTGGTAAGGTGGAGCAGAAAGTTCTTGGAGTTACCCTGCAAACAGAGCCTCTCAAGAGCAAACCGGTGGGCTTTTCGGGGTAAAAACCGAGTGCATGCATATTCAACTTCTTGAAGCAGAGTTGAGGCACTGTAGTTCAGTGCTCTGAATGTTTAATTAGTGTACATTTGTTTTTTGATTTAATTAATTAGTTTGCTAATTAGTTAAGTGTTGTAATAATTAAGTAGCTTAGTTTAGCTATTTCTTTATTTGATTTGCAATAATTAGTCTAATTAGCTTAATTAGATTAGTTTGATTAGTTTAGCTTAGATTAGCTTAGCTTATTCATTCAAACCCTCCTTCGTGTGGGCACAATGTTGTAATAAGTGTGCGTGCGTATGTGTATGTTTTCCAACCCCACTGCATGAATGCCTGTGGATGAAGGCTTTATTACTTGAATTGGAACGATTCAATGATTGTAAGTTTTAAAGCCCACTTTGCGAAATGGAAAATCATGTTTTAAGCCCACTGTGTTTGGTGGCAAATCCGCACTTTCAAGCCCACTTGAGGGTGGCAAATTCCAACCATTTTCGAAAACAAACATGAACTAAGTTGTTCTAACTTAAGCGATTTAGTCTATACTTGCTTGTGTATGTCACATAGCAAAGTTAGCTAATAACAAGAACAAGAGCACATAATGTTTATAAAAAGCATATCATGAATAATAGAGGCCGATCTTTGATTGGGTGAGGGGGGGTTTTCATTTCAGGACCTTCCCCCCTCGTACCCAAGTTCCCGAGCCGAGGCAACTTTGGTGATGATGGACACGTGGCCTTTGGCACGAGTCATGGGTTTCCTAAATTTTTTCAAAACAAAACATTTAGGTGGCGACTCTGTATCTGGCAAAGCAATCCAAGTTTGGCGCTTTTTGATTCAAAATCAATTTTCCAAAACGATTTGCCGGATTTGGACTCTTTGGTGTTTATCAGTCTCACTTTGCACTTCGTGAGATTAGATTCAGAATCTTGACAGGAGTCCGAACTGTAGGGCTTTCTTTCGAACCTTCCGAAAGGGGGGCGCGGAAAAAAGTTGAGTCTACATGGTTCCTCTTATCTCTAAGCAAAAACCCATTGCATTAGCGATCATAATTTTAAAAATGGCAAGTGTGAAACTTGAGAGACAAAAGTAGAATTTAGAATAAATTATAAGGATTATTCATATAATTTATTTAGTTTATTTTTTTTTTCTTGTACAAAAATTGATAAAATTCACAAATGAAACCATTGTGTTCGTTCAAAATGCTAACAACAGTTGACGGGAGGGGAAGGCACATTGTAACTGAGAGGGTAGTTTGTGTAGCCAAATTGGGCCAAGCTAGGTAAGATGGTCTTTGGAGGTTGGGCTGCGTAGTGGGCTAGTTCGAGAGCTTGGGTAGCTCGGTCATGGGCTAAGCAGGCACTAGGCTCAATCTTCGGCTAAGTAGGCACCGGACCTAGCTATTAGTAGGCAGTCCATAAGTGGACTAAGATATCTGTAATAAAGAGGCCTGAGCCATGTGTAGCTTGGCAGGGCACCATTCTGTAGGCGGTGTTAATACGGCTCTGCTAGAAGGAGTACAGAGTAGGATAGCTCGGTCAACCGCAATAACGATCGAGCTAGGAGTTTAAGCCATCTCATTTGGTTGGCAATGAGAAGGGTGTTCCAAGGATATGCATTATCCTCAGGAGGGTGATTCTTAAAAGGTCTCCGCTAAGGAGAGTTAGAGTCATACTAGGAGTGTGCCATGCGGAATCTACAAAAGCTCAAGCCAAACCCTAATCTCAGGTATCGCAATTCTTAATCATGAATACACAGAGCTTATTGTCTATTTTCTATTTGCTGACTTAGGCATCGAAGGGGATTTCCGACACACACCCATCAGCTAGCTCACGTTTATGTTTTCAGGTGATAAAGACAACGACGTTTGGAGAAGTGAAAACTTGATTAATAGGATTATATGAGATAGATTATTTCGTGCTCGTACAATTGGCACTGTCTGTGGGAATATCACAGAGAACAAACCTTTTGATTGACTTTTCCTTCAACTTGTTTCAATGGCACACCATGAAGAGTTTCCCAAATCTGTCATCTATGGACAGACGCCGGAGGGGAACAAAAGGCACAACGATTTGCCTCTTGCTCCATCTATGGCAGACTTGGATTCTCAGCAATGAAACCCTCATAGGGGCGCGCGAGAAAAGCAAGGCTTGAGTCCTCGTTGCTCTCAAAGTCCAGATGGACAAATGAGAAGGACATATACCCAGGTCTTGGAGGATCATATGAGAGAACAAGATGAGTTGATCAGGAGAATGGCCGCAAACATGGAAGCCCTGAAACACCAAATGAAGGGCAAAGGCGTGGTAGGGGTTGAAATCCATGAAGGTAGAACATAATCTCGCCATTCAGGAGGTTGGGATAGGCATGCCACGCTCACTCATTCTGAGAACTGGAGCCTTAGGACAGGCAATACACAATCAAGAACTTTTAGGACTTGTTACTCTAGGTCTGAGAGAATGAGAACTAAAAGGTCTTACATAGAGAGAAGCAGTTATCGACCCTCACATAATCACTAAACCACTTCTCGACACACCGAGCTGCCTAGATTGATGGATCTACGAATCATGCTGGAAGAAATGACTTGAATGAGGGAAGACGCCCAGGCCCAGGACCCTCGAACGGTCTCTACTTTATAGCAGTTGGCTCCTAGGACGCATGGAATTGTCTAGGTTGGAATGTCAATACCGCACCTTGCTTACGAACCAGCTAATAAGGCATTGGCAAGGTTGCAAAGATCGTCGTTCATTCCGCTGATAGAGAATGCACCACAGCCAGCCTTAGTTCACGATCTACGAGGGGAAGTCAGATCCTTACATTCACTTTCGTCAAGTTATGGCCATACATCGGCGGAACAAAGCTCTAATGTGCATCTTGTTTCCATCAAGCCTTGGCGAATTGGGCTTGACTTGGTTTGAGAAGTTTCCAGAATGCAGCATTGCTTCATGGGTGTAACTTGCGGAGGCATTTGTCACCAGGTTCAAGACAAACACCAAGACACCAATGGAGACAGATCAGCTGCTCGCCATCGACATGGGCAAAAAAGAAATGTTGAAGTCTTACAACAACAGATATTGGGAGACCTTCAACCAGATAGGCGACTACCCCACCAACCTAGCTATCGCACAGTACAAGCAGGGCTTGCTAGTGGGCCATAAGCTGAGGAATTCAATGACGATGATGTCGCCCCTCACTATGGAAGCTCTGATGGAGAGAGTACACCAGCACATCAGGGTAGAAGAAGATGGCGCTCGTGCTAAGGCAAAGTCAGGCACAACAACGATGTCGGACAAAAAGCCTATAGTGAAAGTTAACACAGTCGGCAAGGAGGATCGATCACGCAAAAGCAATCGCGGCGGTCGGCCAAACAGTGAGGACCCCAAGGCGAGAAGGTTAAGGATCCGCACCGCCATAACAACAGTGTTTAAGAAGCCCATCTACCGAATTCTTAGTGAAATACACGACGAACCCTTTATTCGGCAGCTTGCCAAGTTGGGAGAAGCCCAGAAGGGCTAAGACGAAAGGTATAGGTGCACCTTCCACGACGAAGTAGGGCATCAAACTGAAGATTGCACGCCTTTAAGGCAACATTTGGAAGAATTGGTGGTCGTGAGCCACTTGGACAAATATATTGAAAGAGAAGCCCAGCCAGCCCCCTAGGACGGTAACTTATCAAACAGGATGCCAGTCGATGGTCCACCTCAAGGCGTGATCAATGTGATACATGGGATCACCGACCCTAAATGAGTTTGCGAGCTCAGAGGCATGATCAAGAAGGCAAAACACATGAGGAAAGTGTTGAGCACCCAGCCAACAGTAAAGAAAGGGAAGTGGGAAGCAAAAAACGCCATCACTTTCTCTAACAAAGACTTAGCGAGGTTGCAAAACCCTCACAACGGCGCGCTAGTGGTTGCTCTGCTCGTCAAGAACTTTGACATCAAGTGGATCTTGATAGACCAGGGGAGCTCATGTGAGATAATGTACTATGAGGCCTTCAAGCAGCTGAAAGTGGAGGACAAAGACTTGGCATCTGCGACATCTCCTTTGGTCGGCTTCAACTCATTGCCAGAATGGCCGGTTGGCAAGATAATTTTGCCGGTCAAAGTTGGCTCGATGACAAAGCTGGTGGAGTTCTGGGTATTGAAAGTCCCCTCCATTTACAACATCATTCTAGGGGGAGCATGGTTCCATGCCATGCGAGCCGTAGCTTCAACCTACCATCAGGTGATGCGATTTCCTAACGAAGCAAGAGTAATTGAGGAGGTCATGGGAGACCAAATCATGTTCAAGCAATGCTTCGTGACAGTGAACGGCAGCCGAACTGGCAAAGGATTCATGCAAATGATAGATGAGCTGGAGAGTAACGAGATGTTCACCCACGTCTGCAAGGCAGCCGAACAAAAAGCAGTGGAAGTAAGAATCAAAGAGAACAACCTAGAGAAGTTTTTCTTGCTTGGCTCATCTTTGTCCAACATTAAGAGAAGGGAGATCATGGAATTTTTTATCTCTAACATCGAAGTGTTTGCCTGGACGCCGTACGCTATGCCTGGAATTGACCTAAACTTCTTCTGCCATCAACTTAACATTAATCCTACCGCTTCACCAATTATACAGTGAACTCATAGATCAGTACTACACCACGCCGAGATAATAGCTGAAGAGGTGGAAAACCTGCTAGAGGCAGGGGGAATCAGAGAGGTTCATTATCCCAAGTGGATCTCTAACACAGTGGTCGTGCCCTAGAAAAATGGCAAATGACGCGTTTGCGTGGACTACAAAACAGTCAAGAAAGTATGCCCAAAAGATAGATTTCCCCTACCACGGATAGATCAACTGGTGGACCTAACTACAGGTCATAATCGACTTAGCTTTCTTCATGCGTATTGTGGATACCATCAGATTGCTATGTACGAACCAGACGGGGAAGTCACTTGCTTTATGACTCCGAGGGGGTTGTATTGCTACAAGGTCATGCCCTTTGGCCTAAAAAATGTAGGGGCAACATTTTAGCGAATGGTCACCAAAATATTCGAACCGTTGTTGGGCAGAACAATGAAGGCTTACATTGATGACATGCTGGTCAAAACTAAGAGTGAAGCAGACCATCTCTGCGACCTAGCTGAGATGTTTCAAATTTTGAAGACCCACAAGTTGTGAGTAAACACCTCCAAATGTGCGTTTAGCGTGGGATCAGGTAAATTTCTTGGCTTTCTAGTAACCAACCGCGGTATAGAAGCCGATCCTTCCCAAATCAAGGCCATTCAAGAACTAAATAGGCCTAACATAGTCAAGGCGTTGCAGCACCTAACGGGCCTAGCTGCCACGCTAAATCGATTCATAAGTCAGTCGTTAGACAGGTGTCGACCATTCTTTCAAGTGCTCAAGGCCAAATTTGAGTAGGATGAAGAATGTGACCAAGCTCTGGAGAGCTTAAAGGAGTACTGGACCTCTCCACCACTATAGGTAACCCCAGTGCCAGGAGAGGAACTTTACTTATACTTAGTAGTTTTCCAGCACGCAGTTACCGCGGTGTTGGTACGCACCAAAGGAGTACAACAGTTGCCCATCTTTTATGTGAGCAAGACATTGCTAGATGATGAAACAAGATACTTGTCATTAGAAAAGTTTGCCTTAGATTTAATGATGGCTTCAAGAAAGTTGATGCACTATTTTCATGTGCATACTGTGAACATATTGACAGCATTCCTCATAATGGCCTTGTTCGAAAAAGTGGACTTCTCTAGGCAAATTTTGAAGTGGGCAGTGGAATTGAGACAGTTCGACATCAAGTTCCAACCTAGGAAATCAAGGCCCAAGCTTTGGCAAACCTTATGACAGAGTTTGCTCTAGGAAGTCATTTTGTTTGCCCGGTTGACTTGACCATGAAAACCAAGCAAAGGGGAGGAGTGCCGCGGGAATAGTGCAGTCCCCACAGCAAGCTGATCAACCCCGCAATGAAAGCCTAACAGTGGTTGCATCGTCCACGAAGGCCAATAGCACATTGCCAGAATGGGAGGAGGGAAGCCATGCAACTGAGCAACTAAGCGAAGAAAATATTGATCAACCGCCGCACAAAGACTTGGGAGAAGTAACTAAAATCCCAGACCATAAAATATCTTCATATCCATTCACTTGCTGCAAGTTATTTGTGGGAGAGATGTGGAAACACTTGGTGGATGGCACTTCCAACAGACATGGAGCTGGATTTGGGATAGTCCTCATCTCGCCAGATGGCCTCACCATCAAATAAGCAATCACACTTGGATTTCCAGCATCCAACAATGAAGCAGAGTATGAGGCACTGTTAGCCGGTTTGAAGTCAGCCTATTAGATGAAAGCCACCGAGCTAATGGTGTACAGCGACTCCCAATTGGTCATCAACCAAATTTCTGGCGATTACGAAGCAAAGGATAATAGAATGACCAAATATCAGGAGCTAGTCAGAACCGAGAGTAAAAGTTTGAAGTCATGAGGATAGAACAAATAGGCTAAGAGGAAAATAGCAAGGCAGATGAACTAGTTGGCTTGGCATCAATGGTAGACACTTCTATCCCAAATCCTTTGCTAATTGACTTCCTTCTAAGACTGAGCATCAAGGAACCTGAAGCGGTCGAGGTGTTCTGCACCGAGATAAGTCCTTCTAGGATGGACCCCATCATTACCTTTTTGAAAGATAGGATTTTTCCAGAGGACAAGAAAGAGGCGAACACAATATGGGCAAAGTTACAATGGTTTTGGCTTTTCCTATCTTTGGCTTTGTACAAAATATCCTTTACTGGACCGTACTTGAAATGTGTTCATCCTAGCTAGGTCGAAGCCTTTCTATTCGAGATACACGAAGGCATTTGTGGAAGTCACCAAGGGGGGAGATCTTAGGCCTATCGGGCTATCTCGAAAGGATATTGGTGGCCGTACATGCATGCAGACGCTGAGAAATATGTCAGAAAATGTGAGAAACGCAAGAAGTTTGCACACCAAATCCACCTGCCGGCCAAAGAACTCCTACCCCTGACCAGCCCTTGGTCTTTTGCAATGTGGGGCTTAGACATAGTGGGGCCACTTCCAACTGTGCTGGGTGGTAGAAAGTTCTTTATCACAGCAACATACTACTTCACAAAGTGGGTTGAAGCAGAGGCACTTGCATCCATCAAAGAGAAAGATGTCAAGAAGTTTGTCTGACAAAAAATTATAACCTGGTTTGGAATTCCTAAGGCATTGATATCAGAGAACAACAGCCAATTTGAAGAAAAAATCGTCATGGGCTTTTGTGAAGAGCACAAGATAGAATTCTACAACTCCACATCGGCGTACCCTCAAGCCAATGGCCAAGCTGAAGCGTTAAACAAGGTGATCCTGGATGGCTTGAAGAAAAGGTTAGAAAAGGGGAAATGAAAATGGGTTGAAAACTCCCTCAAGTCTTATGGGCCTACCGAACTACCCTAAGACGATTAACTAAAGAAGCACCATTCGCCCTGGCTGACGGTTACGTATTGTAAAATGAAAGGGTATCAGAAGTATTCTACGAGTGACATGCCAAAAAATTCGCAAATGAGGGCCCCCTCTATTGTTGTGTTATCTAAAAAATATACTAATGATAATGTTGATGTTTGACATTGTCCTCCAACGAAGGCCATTCCGATTCTGACACAGACTAAGTCTGTTGGTTTACTGGAAAGGCGAAGAGATTTGTTGTTAGGAGGTTTTGGGGAAAGTGGTTCAACTATTCATGAACGCAGAGGTTGTCTGAGTTTGTCAGATATTGATGTACTCTGGGGTGGTGATGACACTATTGATGTTGATCCTGCTCCGTCGATTTCAGAGATTGGTGTTAGCAAAGAGGATGTTGATCGTAGAGGATCAGTTGTTATGGATCCAACAGAATTTTCTAATGTTTTACGAAATGTAATCATCAGTGTAAAAAATAGTGATGTGACTCAAGATGTAACAGTTGATGATAAGGGAAATGTAGTAAGTAAATAAAACTTTGAGTGGTTTCATAAATAAATATAATAAAAATTTTCATTAATCATGACAGTGGTTACATTAACATCAAACCATTCTCTCATTTTTGGGGACATTGAATCTAACCAACTACTGTCCCCATTGGTTAATAAAATACAAGTTATGTCAAAATTGTTGTCTCTCCGTTTGGAGGGAAGACGATTTCCTTAAATTAGGGATACACAAAAATAATATAAATAATTTATATACTGACGAAGAACTCTCCTCCTCCTCTGATAACAGGAACCAGAGCAGAGGCCCATCCGCCCAATCTCCCTCTACATCGAAGGACCCTCAAGAACAGGCAAAAATGCCTGGGCCAGAAGCCTCGGATGACACAATTACTTCTCCGACAGAATAAGCTTCAAGGACTATGACCAAGACGCCGTCTACAACGTCATAGACGACATCAAATACTCGACAGTACCTACCGAATTGATGAAGAATTTAGTAGGATGCCAGAGAGATTTCCATGTGTTCGTTAAGTTCCAACCAGATCTCACTATTAGAGGAGGAATTCCTTGTATTTTATTAACCAATGGGGACAGTAGTTGGTTAGATTCAATGTCCCCAAAAATGAGAGAATGGTTTGATGTTAATGTAACCACTGTCATGATTAATGAAAAATTTTATTAAATTTATTTATGAAACCACTCAAAGTTTTATTTACTTACTACATTTCCCTTATCATCAACTATTACATCCAAGCAAAACCACCACGATCGTGACACGTGGGTGGACAGGAGATGGCCACGTCTACTCACACCAAGCCCCAGCTACTCACACCAAATAGTAAGTCTTCATTCCACTAGAAGTCGGTCTTCCAACCATCAGAAGTGAGAACTTTGACCCAGACTTGAATGCAAAAGCAATAACCTTGGTGCTAGATCTGACTAAAGAACGAAGAGAGAGGGCATTAATTCACATTGCCTCATATCAGCATGACCTGTCCATAAAATACAACACGGCGGTTCACCCAAGGCAGTTCAAAATTGGAGATTGGGTACTGTATAAAGTAATAGGAAATACGGTGGTGCCTAGTGATGGCAAATTAGGACCTAACTAGGAGGGGCCGTACAAAGTGGTCAGGCTGGCAGGAAAGGGAGCTTACCCCTTGGAAGATGTTGACGGCCGAGCTATTCCAAGGCCATGGAATACAGCCAATCTCAAGATATTTTATGTTTTGTTCTTTGCACTTGTAATTTTTTTGAACTTTTTGATTGACATTTAATAAAAGAAGTAGATAGTTTTTTCTGTAAATTTTTCAATACTTGTATTTATTTCGGTCTGTGTGTAGAAGATCTTTGCACGACTAGGGGCAAAGTGGGTTAGCAAGTTTGACCAACTTTTTGTACTCTTTGGTCGAGATGGTTATTTAGGCCAAAAAAGTTGGCAGGTTTGACCAACTTTATGAACTCTTTGGACGAGATGGTTATCTAGGCCAAAGAAGGTTAGGTTAGCAGGTTTGGCAAACTTTTTGAACTCTTTGACCAAGATGGTTATCTAGGCCGAAGAAGGTTGGTAGGTTTGACCAATTTTTGTGAGATGGTTATTTAGGCCAAAGAAGGTTGGCAGGTTTGACCAATTTTTTGAACTCTTTGACCAAGATGGCTATC